CATTTTGAGTTAGACTTCCTGGTGGATTTCAGGTTTTAAAGAATCATGGACTTGTTGATGTACAACAAGACCATCTTATGGTGATATTACTTTAAAGTTGACTCTACACTTTGAAGGAACAAATATAAAGTTAGAAGCTGATGAGTTTTTCATGTATATAGGTAAGACTACATACAGCTGCTGAGCATAGGTTTTGTTACCATTGCTATTTCTATTTCTAATGTTGCTTGAACTGTATGGTGAAAAACTAAATTGAATATTCATGAAATAGCTTTGTAAGAAATAACAGGAAAGAGTTTTAGGATATTATATTGTCAGTTTTTTTTTTTTTTTTTGAGGGGTAACTAGTAAGTAGTATACACATGCAATTAGTGGAAGAGGGTGGAAAGAAGTAGCCTGTTACTTGAGGCATTGGCCTCGACATATTCCCTTGTTCCCTCTTGCATTCTTAGAGATGGTTATTGTTTCTCACAGGATAGAAGAGGAAAATAAATAAAAGATCCTCACTGAATCTGACAGTTTATTCGCAATATATGCAAGCACAACTAAACCCAGTTTCCTGTTTTGTTAAACACTACAGATGAATCAGCAGATGAAGAGAAACCAAAAGAAACAGACATTAGATGGTTGTACAGCAGAGATGATGCTAATCCAAAGTTTTGAAAGGTGTAGATGTATTATAATTAGGCAACTTTGGTAGGAGTAGGACTGTTCTTGAGATTGTTCTTGAGTAGCATGGCTGCAGGTGGATTACAAGTGATGAAGTGAGGTTGCATTGAAGAAGATTCTTGGAGCTTGTACGGAAGCCTGAATCTGTTGTGTCATTTTGGGTTAAGATTATTGTACTCTAAAAGGGAAATTTTTGTAAGTTATGAAATCCTTTTCTAGGAAATGCGAGTATCTACATGGCATGAGTACGGGAGAATAGACTGTTAGCAATAGATTTATATATAAATAAAGGTTAGTTTGAAATGTATTCTGTTTCAGGTTTACTTGAAATATCATAGGAATTTAATGTTTATCATTTTGTGAAAGGTCTTGGTTTTTCTACACATTTGTTCTTCCATGTGATTGGATGTGTTAATTATTTTCACTAGAATATTAAATTTGTTTTTGTTTTATTTTAAAATAATATATAGTGTATGTTATATTATATTATCTTATGGTCAAAAATAATTTTTATTTATATAATTATTACATTTTTTAATAATTTTTTTTGAAAAGTGGAGTTATCTATTTAATATTGAACATAAAACAGTCCTTACAAATGAATCAAAGCACAAGACATAGCAGTCAAACAAAAGGAACCTCCAACTAACTTGATCACAGTAACAAAAACTGAAATTTCCACCTGCAGCATATATTCTATCATCTGCAACTACATTTATTTCATCCATGAAGGAGTTGCAAAATCATCATCACCTGAAATATATATTCTATAATCTGTAAAACTACTATTATTTCATCCATTAAGGAGTTTCAACATAAAGGACTCCCAACCAGGTAACAGGACACTAAAGAAAAAGCTTATTTTCCAGAAACAAGAGCATCGATTTTGTACTCGACATGAGCTTCATAGTCCTCAAGGTGACCCGTGACTGCATCATTCTCCCAACGAACTAGTGTTGGAACACTGGTGAGCTTGAACCTTGAATCTAGTCTCCACGGGTGAGCAGGATTTCTCCATGTAGGTCTATCGCCGACATATGCTCGCACAAGTGCCACATCATCTGGTGATGATTCTAGCTTTTTATATATTACAGGTTCAGCTCTCACACAGTCTGTCGAAGAAAAGATGGTAAGTTACAATCTTCATATAAACAATATAGGGGCACCCCCTTGGTGCCCCTTTAATGATATATATTTTTTCTCTCAACAATATTTATATGCTTGTACAAGATTGGAAAAAGCAGTTTAATATGCTCCATATGTATAGTATAATCAATATAATGTTCACATAGCAAATCTATCTTAAAAATAAATCTGATGTTTGGAACAGATATCATCATTAGCCTGGTGATGTCTTTTTTCCAGGAATTGCACCATGTAATGATTGAATGCAAGCAGTATGCATGATGGAATGAGACACCAACCACAGGACTAGTACGTCTTGGATCTTAGCCTAGTATTCATTGCTAATTCTGATCATCTTTCAACAAGTAGTTTATGGTTCATGGTAAATTCTCTTTTAAATCACCTCAAATTTTTCGGAAACTTTTCATATGTTGCCCAATAACACTTCATGAGATAAAATGACTTGATGCTTATTACTTGAATGTTTCACCACATAACTTTTCCAACTTGTAAGCCAACTTAAAAACACTTTCACCCTCTCCAAAAAAAAATTCATTCTCCTATGAACATAAAGAAAAGCTGGGGATACATGTTTCCGTTGATACCATAAAGTCTCTACTGAGAGAAAATATTTCGAAGTTATGATTTTGTAATTCAATGTTACAAGAGCAGAAATGACTTCCTTCGTATTCTTTTGCATTCAGTTTCCATCTATTTATTTTCTTTTCAGTTCGGTAACCATGAACAAAACCCTGAATAATGAATATATCTTAAGAAGCCAATGCAGATACCATTAACTACCAAACAAATACTTCGAACATAGTTTCATCCCACCAGATCCCAATTCTTCCAAAGAAGAAGAAATCTTTCATATCTTTCATATCTTTCATATCTCTATTTAACTCCTGTTCTAGATATTGTAAGGAGAACATATAACCCTCATTTCCATCCAAGTGCTCCAAAAATTCCAGGAAAGGAAATAAGAACTTAGAAGACTCTGCTATTGCTACTCCATTAAGCTTATTTAAATACTAAACTTTTACTCCTACTAATGCAGTCTTGCTCTTCTTATATAAGGATATTATTGTTTTATAGTGTTAATAATGGTTGAATGTGTATTTTATTCAACATACAGGCATTAATAATTTTCCATTATCTTCCTTTTCACCTCTGTCAAAACAAAGTTGATTCTTATCTTGTTTGGCTTTTTTTACCTTCGGTTCTTAAGTAATTTCTACTTCTAGCTTCATTAGTATTGATTCATACAATTACAATATGATTGTCGTGTTCAAATTGTTCTCACTCATATTGAATTACTTAGGAGAGAGAATTCAATTCTCATTTGAAGGAATTAAATTCTCACTTTGAAAAATTAAAAATGGAGAGAGTAAATCCAACCAAAACAACCATATGCTAGTAATGCATATCAAAATTAATATAAATACTAAATTAGGAATATGTTCGAAATCAATGAGAAGTAAACTGAACAAAATGCAATCCAAAATCATACATTCTGACCCTTGAATTACTACTAGTTCACATTATACTTGAAATGAAACACCATCTCACCAAATTAAAATTCAATATAATTCTATTTCTAGGTCTAGATCTACTTAAAACCAGAAATGACACCAGAAAACCCTAATTCTACTTCTACATCTAGGTCTACGTCGCTCTTCATTCAAGAAATAAAAGAGCAAAATTAGAACCTCAATAGAACCCAATCAATAAACGTGCCACAAAATCCCTAGTCGTTCGCACCAGAAGAAACTGAAAATAAACAAAATTTGAAAACATTTTTATAATGGGTAAAAAGTAAACATAACTTCGATCAACGAAACAAAGGAATCAAAATCATTTTTCGCGAGAAGATAAGATTCATAAACGAAAAGCAAAATTGAAAAGTCCGCAACTCTACCAGGACACCAGCTGAGAGAAGTAGAAGGGTCCTTGTCAGCCAAGAAGAGAATGAGATTGGCTTTGTGTTTCGATGCATCTGATTTGAATTGCTCGAGCACACTGTCAAAGCTCGAAACGGTTGCGT